TCCTTGCCCCCCCCGAGTAGCGCGTGTCACTTCCCTGCTAGGCCGAGCTTAACGGCCAGGTCCGGAGTTCCTCGATTCTCATCTAGGAAGCTAGATCTTGGATTGACAGCCCCGTTCATTTCACTTGCTACAACTGGATAGGGCACACGCATACTATATGACGATTCAAGCTCGATGGGAACGTTTGCAGATTTGATGCCTGTCAGTCGGCGCCATGCCGTAACAACCGGCTAAGGCTGGCTGGCCCAATATGTGCAGTCGGCCCTTTTTGCCCAGCTGGGCTCTCAGAGGGCGAATCGAGCAGTCTCGCCTCGTCTCTCGGTTCCTGACGGTCAATATTTGTCCGTCCATATAGACGCCCAGGAACGCACACACTAATGGCCTGTTTGTCGCGTTATGGGGGAACAGGGTCTAAGCTGGCGGCTAGCAAGTTGTTCATGTGGGGGAAACAGGGCCTTGGGCCATACTCAGCTGCTCCTTTGAGCCTCCTGAGAGAGATGTCCGTCTGCATATCCGTATACGAGGCACGTAGCCGTGAGCACACGGAGAAAACTTCCAAGCAGCACGGAGTGAGTGGAGTGGCGAGCATGAAGAACGAGGGGCTGAGGAGCCCTTGTGTGGATAGTCGTATGCTATTGATGGTATGGCTTCTCCTTGATGATTTGATGAAAAACTTACAAGGCTGATCAGGCGCCGCCGGGTGGTTGTGAGCATGTAAGGGCCTCACAATATCTCGACAAGTATTAATAGTCCGGCTTGGCATCTGCTTTTTTTCTCGGCAGAGACCATCTCAACTCCAATCCCCTCTTACACCAGAAGTAAAAGAGACCAACTCGCAGCCATGTTCTCCAAGCTGCTCCCGCTCGCCGCTCTGGCAGCCGTTCCCGCCCTCGCGGCTCCTACTCCTGCTGCTGCCGGAAACTGCTTTCCTTTTGGCAACGCAACTTTCCCCGGCAACTACGCTGCCCCAAGTACCGCTCTGAACAACTGGTGGTGCCCTCAGTCCGACTTCTATGGCTTCATGGGCTTCTCATATCCTCTCGAGGATAGCACCTGCTCCGACTCTAGCAACGGCTACGCCCAGATGAAGAAGGACTTTGCCCAGCAGAAGAAGGACTTTGGTGCGAGCATTGTGCGCATGTACTACCCCACGTGCACGCAGTCGAGCGTCTTCATCAATGCCATCAAGGCTGCGTACGACAACGGCATGGGCCTGATTGTCCAGGTCTGGACCAACTTTGGCGATGGTGTAAGTATACAACTGTTGAGGTTTACATGTATGAGCGCTCAAGTGCTGACAGTATGTTTCTAGAATGTCTGGCAGCAGTCCCAGCAGGCCATCTACAACGCCATCAACGACCCCTCCGTCGCGGCAATTGCCCCTTATGTCGTCCACTGGGCAGAGTTCGGCTCCGAGCCCGTTGGCGATGGCATGGACCAGGGCAACTTTGTCAACGACCTCGGCAAGTTCCGCGCCACGCTCAACGCAAAGGGCATTTTGGCCGGTATCAGCGAGGACTGGGACAGACCCGGCACCATGAGCGGCAGCAACGGCAAAGGTCTCGCCTCCATCGGTGCCGGCGTCAAGGCCAACTCCGACTTTGCCCACATCCACCCCATGCCCTTCTACCACGGCAACAACCCCGAGTCGCAAGCTTGGAGCTACATCCAGTCCCAGATCAACTGGGTCAAGACCAACGTCGGCCTGCCTACCTTTGTTACTGAAACCCAATGGGCTTGGGGCGCCACCGACCACTACCCCGGACACAAGGACCTTGGCGTTACTCAGTACACCAACTACTGGAAGACGTTTGACCAGAACTGCGCTTACTTCAAGCAGCAGAACGTTGGCTGGTTCCTTCACGCTTGGAGGGGCGAGGATACTTTCGATATCGTGAACCCCAATGGTGGATACATTATCCCTAACTGGAGACCCCAGCAGTGCTAAACGATTAATGATGAGACGTTTGTGCCAAGGCGCGCAATATGGCAAGGAAGGATAATCATGGTTCACTGTACATAGCATTGTCAGCCTAATAAGGCATATATATAAATAGCATTGAATTCTTCAGATATTTGGAGTTACTGTTCATATACTCTACGATCTTAGCGTCAAATTAGATTGTCTTGTGCAAGTGCATGTATTTACACAGTTGTAAAGACACATTAAACCTACACCCGCGCCGCAACTAAACTCATGTAGATTCCCCATAACAGGCCAATAAAGCTTAGAAAAACAATGCGGCGGTGCACAGGAATAAAGCTAAAGCTGACAATGGAAGCAATTGGCCAAATCTTGTATCCCGCGATGATAATAGGGATTGTTTCCTTGTTTGAAATGATGTTAGTCTGGGAACATTGGATAGCCCAATGATTGAAGACTCACAGCTTTAATATTGGATGCTATCTGAATGGCAGGTTGACCCTTTAATATTCCCATGACGACTAGAAATGCCACTGTATTCATAATGGCCCCGGCGGTGATGCAGTCAATAAACCATTTGGCCAGTGTGTTGCGAATGCTAAACTTGGATTGCACTGGTGCTTCGTTTTGCGGTCCCACCCCTTCTCCAATCGACTCTTCCATGGCTCTGAGCTCAATGTCTTTATCGCCATGAGTGTGCAATTGATGCATGGGCGGATATGCAGGTAGAGCCTTTTCGAGAAATTGTTGCCACATGTAGTTTGGCGGAGCAGTGATGAGAGTGTATGCGATGAACCGGGCAAGTTGGACAAAGTCCAGATAGAAATTCCGCTGCCATTGGTGTAAGTGTGAGGGCTTGAACATTTTGAACGGCCATTTGAGACATTAATCAATGAGAAGGCGCTAATTAGAGTCTTACATTATTCCAGTATGCCTCAATAAACTGAGCGCAGAAATTGGAGACGGTCGACAGAAACGCCGCCTGCAGCGTCGCTGTCATCATTGGAGACGGCATTTTGGGCCACAATTGCATCAATTTATCCACTCAAGCTTCTGTCGAAGATGTATATGTAGCAATCATTGTTTAGAGTTTTGAGGGTGAGGGAAAGGAATGTTTCGTAAATGAATCCACGTCAGAGCCAGGAGAGCATCACGTGAGAGGCCGGAGTATGGATGGTGAATGGTGATCTACAAAACAAGTGGAATTTTGGTGGAGATGGCGAGTCGGTGTTGTGAGGCTGTCAAGATGCAGGATTGCGAAAATAGAGAATGGGTCAGCTCTCATTTATTCTTCTATATATTCGATATTGCATACTTTGCGTAACTGACGATAAGAATGTTCAATTGCATTGCCGTATTACCCATATCTATTTCATCCTGAAACGCCACTTTGCAATCCCCATCTGACATCTCACTGAGGAATCCTCACCACGATTCGCCCTGTGATTTGGCCATGCTTCAGTTTCTCGAAAATGTCTGGGATTGCTGAAAATTCTTCCACCTTGACCGTTGGACGGATTACCCCTGCAGCAGCATGTTGGAGAAGCTCCTCCATCTGCTGCTCGGTCCCTACCATCACGCCTGTCACAGTGAGTGCTAAGGCACAATTAGCCAGATACTTTGTACAAGTTGTTTTTGGGCCTGGAAAAAAAAAATCTGTACCTCTTGCGGCGAATAAACTGGCTGCCAAAGGAAACTTGAAGGTGGAAGCAGGCAAGCCTATTATTGCCAGTAGCCCATTGTTCCGAACCAGCTTTGGGGCAAGTTCAAATGCGGCTTCTGATCCAGAAACAATGAGACAAGCATGAGCTCCTTCTCCCGTGATCTCTCTAACTCGCTGCTCAACATCTTCGGCAGCGAAATCGATGAATTCATGAGCACCGCATTGTAGACTGAGCTCGCGTTTGGATGACCCGGTATCGACTGCGATGACCCTGAATTTCCTCAGTCTGCTGGCAATCTGAACTCCAACATGTCCCAAACCGCCACCCGAACCTGATACAACGACCCAACCATCCTTTGGTATATGTGCATCGAGTTTTGCAATTCCGCCCATCATTGTTAATCCTCCGCATAGGAGAGGAGAAGCCACCTCGTCTGCCACGCCATCAGGGATAACTGTCAAGTATCGTGAGTCAGCAACGACGTATTGCTGCAGAGTTCCTTGAGCATGAACGCCTGTAAAGGCTGGTTTCATGCAGTGGTTTGAAGATCCGCGTTGGCATTCTGAGCATTGACCGCAAGCACTGTGAAGCCACTTCACGCCTACACGCTGTCCAAGCACTGACTCTGAGACGTTCTCGCCTGTTTTGACGACAATGCCGACGCCTTCGTGACCAACGACCGGCTTGTAATTACTCCATCCAAGCAGTGCTCGAACTTCTGAACCGCTGAACGATGTTTGGTAAGTCATTTATTGCGGAGGGAAAGGGGCTGAGGACCTACCAAACACCGCTATAAGTTAATTTGACAAGAACTTGATACTTGCCTGGTGCTTCAACGGGATATGTGTTGTCAATTCGCACTGTACCGTTTGGACCTGGTTTTTGTATGACGGCTGCGGTTTGCAGCGTGGGAATTGGTGTGGTCATCTCGACTTTACGTGTACAATAAACTTGGAGATTGGTGGCGTGGAAACAGCTGAATTAGAGGTTGACTATGGAGTCTGGTTTAGAGATATAATGTTCTTTTGAGCATATATACCAAATTGACAGCGACTTGGAGCATCGAATTTATTAGTTCTCTATCTAGGCTTAGCAACATCCCCGCATCGGCAGTGGGCTTCGGAAACTTTTAGTGGGGGAAACATGTAGACAGAGACTGAGGTCCGGCTTCTAATATCGGCAATGAATGCGTTGAGTTTTTTAGGAATCACACCAGCTTCATGTTTATATGTTTTGTCTGCCACTATGCCGATACACGTTTCATCCAGCTACATGTGACCTCGCTGCCTCTGCATCTATAGGATCTATGAATGATAAATTCTTATGATCGAGGTAACGGATAATGACGGCTATATGTATCTCTCGTTGATGCTGTAGGCCCTCTGTGCTATTATGAAACCGAAATTTGCTTTTTATTTTGCCGAATAATTTTCGAAAACAGCTGCGATATCCAGCACCTTACCATCATATCCGCTGCCGCCTTGAAAGGTAATACCAAAAGGTAACCGAACTCCTCCATCTTCGGCCCATCCGGCATTGACGCTGACTCCGCATAAATCAATGACATTTCCTGGATGTGTGAAGATACCAAGCTTGGAATTTGCAATCAGCGGACTGTCTTCTATTTCTTGTATAGTCGGATGCCATGGCACGGTTGGCACGACTAAAACGTCAATACCATCTTCGAACTTGTTGAAGATTTGGCGGCCTTTGGCAATACATTCCATTTGTATGGCTTGGTCTCTGTATACCTCCCAACCTTTCAAGTCCGACGAGAGAACCTTCTGGATGACTAATTTAGTCGTCGGATGAAGCGTGTCGATCTTCTCTGAGAGAAACTCGTAGCCGATTGAAGCGAGACGTTCGTGAATAAGAGACGCACCGTAAATGAGATCGCCCGCTGTAGCAAGTGGCGTGTAGTCAATATCAACGAGTGTTCCTCCAATCGACTGCAGCACATCAACAGCCTTCTTAAACAGCTCTTGATATTCCTTTGAACACAGCTGTAAAAGGGAATCAGGAGGGATGCCAAAGGTAAAGCCTCCTTCTTTTGGTCCTCGGAAGTCTACAGCCCACGTCGGCAAACTTGCCGGTGGTTTGGCATACGGATCTAGAGAATCGTGCCGATCAAGCACATACCAAACCTGTCTTGCGTCGGCTACAGAAGGTGCCAAAACGCCAATTGTATCGAGACTCTGGCATGCAGGCACCGCGCCTCTGGCGGAGATTGTGCCTTTGGTGGGTTTGAAGCCAACGACGCCGTTTAGTGCAGCAGGGGCACGAACGCTCCCGGCTGTATCAGTCCCAATGGCAAAGGAAACAAGTCCAGCAGCGACAGCGACTGCGGATCCGGAAGATGAGCCACCGGGGACATGATCTTTGCTGTGGAAGCAGTGAAGAGCACCATAAGGCGAGCGGCATCCCACCAAACCAGTCGCAAGCTGTTCGAGGTTCAACTTCCCTATATAGAGTGCCCCCGCGTCGAGCAGATGTTGAATTGACGGAGCTGTAGAAGTAGCCGTATACGCATAGCTTTCGCATGCTGCTGTGGTAACCAAACCTTCAACATCAATGTTGTCTTTTATGGCAAACGGGATGCCAAAAAGAGGCGGGAGAGGCTTTCCAGCATATGCTGCAGATAGTTTACTGGCAGCCGCTAATACATCCTCTTGAGACTGCCTAGAGATCCAAACAGCAGGATTAATATCCCCATACTTTGCTATGCGATCAAACACGGAATTGATAACTGCCTCGGGCGTGGTACGGCCATCTCTGTAAAGACTCTTGAGTTGATCGATAGAAGGAAGCATTGGAGAGTTGAGACCATGATTGGTTGAGGACGGAATAAGCTGGCGAAATTGCTCTGCTTCCGTAGTGAACTCTGAGCTGTGGCCTACATATCCGAAGAGGCCGTTTTGGCAGCAAACAATATCCAAGGACGTGGCTGCCATACTTTCGTCAAATCCTGCTGTACAGTCTGATAGAATGCAACATTCATAGCCTCTATCATTGCCCTCCCTTAGGGTACTTGTTACGCAACATCTGGACACACACAATTAGTCACATACGAAGCCAGTATAATCTACATTCACTTACTCAGTCGTAACTCCAGCAAGGACCAAATGCGTAATGCCCCTGGCCAACAACACTCGATGGAATTCAGTCCCCCAAAAACTCCCTTTCCCAGGCTTATCTATAATTGGCTCTCCAGGATACGGCTTCAGTTCGTCGATGATATCATGGCCTTTCTCGCCTCTTACAAGTAGCTTCCCCATAGGGCCTTCGTCGCCAATGGTCAGTGATTTGCTGCCGTTTGGTGCGCTTGCCTGCCTCAACCTTTTCGCAGCGGGCAGATCGGAGAGATTTGGAAGATGGCCTTCTCTGGTGAAAATAACATGCATGCCGATAGATCGGGCGGCTTCGAGTGCTTTCTGGACATTGGGCACTATTTTGCGAACAGATGAGAAGGCAGCGGGATTTGCGCAAATAACAGACCCGAAGCCATTTGGGTCTAAGAAGTCTCGCTGCATATCGATTATTACTAGAGCCGTGGTTGCAGCAGGGCAAGAAAACGCATACGGGCGAGCATTGCGAAGCAACAATTTTCTGTCTGAGGCCATATTGAATGTCTACAGAGCGATAAATGGAGTCGAAAAACAGAGTGGAAATGTACAGTGAGATAAGATGATGATAGTGATGGACTTATTGGGCGGAGAAGTGACTTTATATGCGGGGTGATTTAGCACGACGATTCGTTCTAGTCAGTGAGAGCTTCCGTGCTCGTCCGAGCTTACAAAGCACAACAGTACAAAGCACAACAGTTATGTATTCAAACTGGCAATCGTACTTTTCAAGTAGCCTCACTTCATAAAGAATCTGTGAAGAAGGCTGCTTGGGACATCAAGTCACTGTTCCTATTGCGATACATCCAACTTGGAGGTTTAGTGCGAAGCGATTCGCTAGCACTTAGGAGGGGCCAAGTGAAGCAGAGCTAACATAAGTGATTGTACTAGGAGAATAGGCTTCAGAGCAGACAATAATGTTTTTTCCTGTCTTTCTATTGAAAATATTACATGAATTTTGATATAACGATTAGTTAGAGAATGCGCCTGAATTGTCTCTTTCTATTGAAAATATTACATGAAATTTGATATGACGATTAGTTAGAGAATGTGGCTGAATTGGCACCCAAAGTACTATGAGACGTTGCAATGAAGCCATGCTGCGGCCGGTATGGCTGGATATAAGCTTAAATATTACGGCCGCTCCTCTTTTGTTTAGAAGGCCGTGTTTCAAGTATATGCAGTAAAAGGCAGTGGCAATCAAACATGCATCATGGCAATATGTAGGTATGTAGGTAGCCATCTCAGTCTATTCACCTCAACAATTAGCTCTCTATCCTACAGGTATGTTTGCTTTTATAACGCTTTTCTCAATTCTCTCTCTACGCATCCAAATCCGTGGAGCTAGCAATATCCTTCCATTCTTGACACACATCGATTGCAGCCTGGGCAGCTGCAGTGATGTCTTCAATAGCATCAACACCCAAGGGCAAGAATGAAGGCATTTCCTTGCCCTTGGCTACGCCACTGGACGTGACCACATCGTAGATGACTCGAGCACCCTTGACAGGGTCTCCTCGCTGCTTGTCGGCTTCAAACGCAATAACACGCTTGTTCTCCTCGCTTATCTCTCGGTAGTCCGCGATGCCAGTGCTCCCACTTATTGAACGGAAATCTCCATTCTGCTTCAACAACTCTGTGCGGAAACGGCCGGGCTCGACCAGCAAGTGTTTGATGCCAAGTGGCTTAACTTCAGCAGCAAGACCAATGCTGAGAAGCCGTAGAGCTGCCTTGGAGGCATTGTATACACTGGCGGCGGGATGGGCAAACCATGCGGCCATTGATCCAATGGTCACCAGAGTTCCGGCTTTTCTGCTCCTCATGTGAGGAAGAATGGCGCGGTATACATTAAGTGCTCCAAAGACATTGGTCTGGAATTGTTGGTGTGTGTCTTCAGGCGAGAGATCCTCCAGAACACCCATTTGGACGTAAGCCGCACAGTTAACGATGACGTCGATTGGGCCATGTGAAGAAATAATGGCGTTCATATCTTGCTTGATCTTATCCAGAGGCTCATTCTGGTCAAGGTAAGCGAAGCTGATGTTCTTCTCTTGAGTTTGCTGGACTTTCTTCGGTGAGCGTGTTGTGGCAACGACCTTGTTGCCTTGCTTCGCAGCGACGATGGCGAGATGGAGGCCAAGGCCAGATGAGGCGCCTGTGACGAGCCAAGTTTGGGGAGACATTTTGTTTGATTGTATGTGTGTTTGATGAGATCTTGGTGTATACTTGACTGTGATAGTGAACTATTGGTTCAAGAGATAAGTTGATATACCACTTTAAAAGAGCAGGAAGAGCTTCATCTTTATACTTCAACGATCAAGCCACTCTGGGTAGTCTGGGTCTAGCAAACGCTGGATCATCTCGAAATCTTGATCTCGGTATGACTCAATTTAGGAAAATGGCCTCTTTTGGCCACTTTTCTGTCGAAACATGTTGTTTTTATGAAGCTATTTGTCTGTTTGTCTCTTGTTCTCCGCGATGGCCCGTCTTAGCGGATCTCGCCAGAGCGGACGGGAGCGGACGCGAGCGGAGAGTGGAGCGCGGGGCCGCCATTTCGGCGTTTGCTGTGCACTAAACATCTGGTTTCGGCACTTGCGGAGATAGGTTTGTGGAGAAATGGAGTTTATAGTCTACTACGTGCGTTAAGGCTTCGGAGTTGAGAGCCGGCTGCATGGCGTTTGTGCTGAATCTGTCTGGAACGATTGGTGCAAAGCCTAACGGGATTTGGGAAAACGTTAACAAAAGAGGAACATGACTTGAAATCTTGCAGAGACGACAAGTTGCCACTGGAGCCTTGTAAGTGTCTTCAGATTTCTTTTCTTCACGAGTATTGCAGCTTCGGCTTTTAAAGCTCGGGTTAACGCTCTTTGTGGTTCCAACGTTGAATACTAAGCAATAGGCATGCGCAGGAGACGCTTTAAAGATTGAAGGTAACACAACTTATAGAATAGCAAATAGCTCAAAGTAAAGATTTACTGGGAGGCCGACGTCTCGTCGTCAAATTTTACATGGTGGGAGAGACAGAGATAGGCAGAGCTATAATTGCTGCCGTTGGGATAGCTACGAGCCGTTCTCTATATAAAAACAAAGAGTTATATTCCTGATGGAGGAAAGTAACGGGATGTGGCGGGAATGGCGACTTCTAGAGAGATTACGAAAAGTGGTTCTGCTGATATCAAGATGACGATATTGTCCATGCAGCTCATAAAATCTATAATTGTAGCGCAATAACATAGAGTTTTACGAATTGTTTGTAGATATATCTCGACACATAATAGTCAGGAACACACAGTCGAGATGTTGTCAGTGAGTAATTGTTACATCTATGTCTCAACACTCCGGCTACAGAGATTGTATCATTCGTCGGCTATCGTGTCTATCTCTATTTCTCCCTTAGTAAGCGACAAAATGATCTATAGGTTGTAAAGTGGAAATACCATATCACTATGACATCTCTTCTCTAGCGGCTGTTCAACTTTAACTTCTGACACAATACTAATCATTGTGAACCACGTATTTCTGCAGCACCCTCTTTTAATTTCAGGAAATAGAAGATACTAGCTCGCTAGAATTGCCTCTCGTTACGGAATTCCCAAACCTGTTTGTTCTCTCTATAGTAACATAATTGATTGATTTGTCTTTTAACACCTAGCAGTGTCATGTTAATCGCAAGGGCTAGTGACGCTGTGACAGCCGATTATGATTCTTTTTTCTCGCTTTCTATTTTTGCAAAACTAAGTAGATACAACAAAGCAAAGTGTAATTCCTTAGTGACATTCTCCGTTGCGCTTGGCCGGTTTTTCTTCCATTTTGGACACTAAAGCTAATTGTTTTCGAACGCATTGTCAATTTAGATAGATGAGCATAGAGCACTCGTGGACGTATTGGATGATGTGGAACATGGATATTTATTTTATCGTTGAGATGCTCTATTGAAAGCCTTGGGATCGAAAAGTTCAAAAATTAAGCATCCCAAAGTATTCACCTCGCATTCTACAATATCGGACTCCTGTAATTCTTGTCGATGAATCTTCGGGTTCTTTATAGGGGCTCAAGTAAATATCCTGACAGGTGGGGGAGATACTATTAGCGCTGACCGCTCAGTGGGTTCAAGTTTCTCTCCTATTCAAGGTTCTCCTGTGCTGACTTTGGTAATAGTATAAGAATCTCACAAAGTTCGCCTTCTCTATCCAAACCTATTTTCCCCCTCAGTAATCAACCGCTTTCCGCAAATCCATGCAGTAAATTTTAAATTTCTTGCATACCGCGACGATGAGTCCATTTCAATCAGTAACAACAGTGCCTCAATGGCCTGTACCAACTACGAGTTTAGGTGTTGTTGTGGCACGGTTTCAAGAAGACCTAGTGCCCTGGCTCCCGGTAGCCAATTACACCTATGTTTACGACAAGGGTCATATCCCACAATCAAACGACACTGTCGACCACGACGCCTTTCGCTCTTACATTCAGCTACCCAACATCGGCCGAGAGGGAGACACGCACCTATACCATATTGTGAACAACTGGGACACTTTGGAAGATTATATGATCTTTTCCCAAGCAGACCCCTTTGATCTCATTGGATCTGTCGTCAACACCACGAGCAAAATGGTGGACGTAGCGCTTCAAGTCCATCCCGGCGAGGTCAATCCCTTTGACCCATCTCTTTTCCACGACGTGGATGATTGGGCCAAGATCAATTGGACCGATCCCAAAGAAAGCATTTGGATAACAGCAAGCGAGCTCAAATCTCTCGTCTTTGCGCCGTATACACCGGCAGAGCTATGGAAATTTGTATTAGAAGAGAATCATCCACCGGCTATTCGAGCTGCACATGGCGGTACTTTTGCCGTTCGACGAGATACAATCAAGAGTCGCCCACGCGAAGTATATGAACGTGCTTTGAAACGATTTGTTGAGGCTAACGCTACAAATCCCGAAGTCGGCTTCATGTGGGAACGCTTCTGGACCCCAACGTTTTCTCACCAATACTGGCTCCCAAAGGTTGAGAATCCCTAGATAATTCATCATTAATGCCCAGTTTCTAGGTATAATGCAAAATTAGCATCGGCGTCCTATTGCAGACAGTTACCTGTCATAGTAGAATTGTCTACAAGGCGCGTTAAGCCAGCAGCTTTGGGGTTGAATATTGAACCTTTTAAATACTGCTTCGTGGAGATCGATACAGCAGATAGCATCATGCACTTAATGTCAAATGTTTTAATAGATGGTTTGCTGTATTCATGATACTTTTAAGATTGCAATTGCGCCTCTGATACACTATTATGCAATATCTATGTAGGCTAGGCTGAGAAACTATACCAAAACCTCGTGCGTCATCGAGATGACACAATGAGTATGCACTATGACCGATCTTTATAAGCTCGTTTGCACCCTCTTACACATTATTGGTCAACTATTCTCTATGAGGAAGAATGATTGCCTGTGACAGCTGAATATAGTAACTGATCATTGCGATATCCACTATTAGCGCAGAACTATCGGACAGGGCCATAACTGTCTACCAGCAGCGCCATAACCGGACTTGATGAACACCTATGCACATATACATGTTCCAAGCGATTTCTTGTTGAAGATTATATGCAAGAATGATCCATTATACAGCAGTTGTATTGAGCTTGGTTCCAAAAATAGGCCAAACGAGCACTAAGCCCCCTTCCACAACGGGCGCTCCAATCCTTCTGCGAATTCTCAGCGACTAATCATTAAAATGAGATTCTCTGCTCTTAGCTTTCTGGCCTTTATCATCTCCGCCGCTGCCTGGAGTGGCCAAGTCAATCAGCGGACTGATGCTCCGTCTGGGGAGGGTCCCGGGCTTTCACATATCGATATAATCGATTATGACACCGGATCAACCTATTCTGCCAATACTTTTCCCAGATGGAGAATTTCAAGCATAACAACGGAACGTGTGTCAGCACACATGTATTAACCTTATAATGAGGAGGCGACTTACGTGACAACAGTCTCTCTGAAACCAGCCCTGATTCACTAACGAGCAACAAAAGATTCAGACCATAATAGCTCTATTCAGTAGCTGGATACAGGTCCAATTAGTGATGATCATTTGAATGTGAACACATATTGTTAATAGAATAGCAATGTGTGATTCTTCGTATACTGTCTCCATAGTATTTTAGATGGACATGATCACATCAATCCTTAGTTCCCCTTGATTTATATTTCACTAGCAGGCAATAGGTGATTTCGATAGACAACGTGCCGCCACGGAATAGTCGATGCACGCACACGCGTTCCTACAGATACTGGTGTGTTAAGATCTTGTTATGCCGTGATATAGCCCGGAGTATGTGTTAATATTATTCTTTCAATTCGTCTACTGTATCAAAGCTGGTTCAATGCAGCAGGCAAATGGTTCGCTCTGAGGCTAAAATTACCGCTATTCTGTCAGTAATCAACCCGTGTAACGATTGCAAACTACAACTGAGTTGTATAATAGCTGAAGGGAGGAAGCATTATGTTTGACAAGCTAGAATGCCTTCAGCTTTCAGCTGTCTGAAATTAGTTCTGATTATTCTCTTTTATTACACGAGTATTGCATTTCGGACAGACTTCATGTAGCCACAACGCTCTAGTGCGATGCTGTAGCTAACATGCAGGTTACTTATCGCGTTTTATACCTATCTACCGATAGTTTTACGACTCTTCTACAATTCAGCTGTCAGAAATTACTTGAACGCCACTCTCATCCAGCCAGCTTCTGTGCAAGCCTAAGCCACTGTTTGCTCCGTCAATACGACATGTTTATTCGCTCTACCTGTGCGCGGCATTCAGCATTAGAGTGCAAGTTTGGTTGGCTACGTAATGTACTTACACCTCAATATAGGTAGTCTTCAAGCGCTACAAAAATTGAGCTAGACGGCATGCCAGACTCGAGGCTCAAATACAACTATACGAGGTATCAACATTATAATAATTCAAGAAAAAAAAGGGTTTTCTTTTCTTGATGCTGCCTTTTATGGTGCCATTTCTCTAGGATAACAGAAGAGCGAGGACGTCCTCTATTAAATGTTGGCTGCTGAAACTAAAATCCTCAGCTTACATGTAGCTGTGCGTTGTCCCGTCACTAACCAAAAATCAACCCAAATCCGCGTCAAATCGGAGCTGAGCATGTAAATTAGCACTTAATAGGCCTAGTGGTCTATCAGCTTGGCTTAGAACCAATCTGTCATGAAAACCAGAGAGTCGTAGACGATCATTAAATGCGTGGGCTAAAACTCGCAAACAATTATTTAAAGTTGCTTATAGCCCTTTCAAATATATCTGGCACTCGAAAGGAAGCAGCGCACATCCAGAAAAACTGATACCAAATAATCAGATAGTTATTGTTTTCTTGTTTGCGCCTGACTTTCGGAGTCTTCTGCAACAATGCCTTCTTCCATTCCATATGACCCCAGCCTTGTGATGGGCCAGATTGTCAACCAAGAAGCTCTTCAGAATGTCGAAGAGATTGCTGGATACGAGGCACCTGCCGATGCGGCTCAAGACAAATACAACGGGCTCTTGGCATCGAAGCGAAGCCTTGATATGACACTTATAGAGCTTACTGGTCTTAAACTCGGCGAAGATGCCCTTAAGCCACTTCAGCAGGAGATCGAAGCTTTCAATAAAGATGTTGCTTTAGCGGCGGTTGACTATGCCAAAGCAAAAATCGTATCTGAACAAAACATTGCAAAGGTCCGCGCCAAAATCCCGCAAGTTCATGTGCAGTGGGAGAGCCCGGTGGACTACAACAAAACGGGATACAAGACATTTCCTCTTGCTGCCGATTCTATCAACTTGGACGTGCAGTACTTTTCTACCGATACAAATGAACAGAAGTCTAAATCTTCAGCGGACGACATTGCTTCATTTGCGACGGCAAAGATGGAGAAGCTCGGAGCGAAACGCACGGCTGAATTCGCCGCCAATGTGAAGAGTCAGGTTAGTAGCCAAAGAGAAAAGCACGACATTGAAGGTACTCTTGTTATAGCTGCCACCTGCACGCACAAGAATGCTACAGTCTTGGCTCCATTCATTATGAACGTAGATAAAGCAATCAAAGTTTGGAATCAGATGCATCCGGATCAAAAAGACCGAATCAATCCAACAAGCCCCGCGGCAATGCTGCAGCTCGCCGAAGAAATTGAGTCACCGGAAGGCGTTGACGGCAAAGGCAAGCCCTCAATGACTATCATTTCAGGCGTAACGTACGGATCTAGCTTTGTCGGAATGGTTCATATCCTGAGGTCCAGCTCGACTATGGCCAGCGAGAAATTGAAGAGTATCGCTTCAAAAGCTCAGGTGCAGCTGGAAGTGGGCGCGTTCTTCAACAAAATGTCAGGAGGGTTTGGCGTCGATGCGAGCTTTTCCAACGACGTCAAGAACCTGCTCAGCACACAGAATGTTCAGTCGCACGTCACTATGACCTGCATGGGCTTAATTCCGACTTTGAAATCCAACGAAATCCAACTGGGAGTCAAGCAGTTTGCCAACTTCGATCCAAAGTCATCCATGGAACAAATCCAGGAGATTCAAAACGCCACAGTCGCAGATCAGGCAACTGTCGACAGCGCTGCAGCGGCCGCGAGAACAGGAGGAGAAATGGTTGCTATGCAAGGCGGAAAAGTCAAAGCCGCATTGTCGGCACTTGGAGATATCGACAAGGAAAACAACAAGATTCTAGACATCAACTCCATGATGGAAGCGCTCGACGACTATATCGCAAAAGCTGCCAATCTCACCGGTGGCGTGCCCATCAACTACTACCTGAAGCCAATCACGAAGGATATGCTGGCGGAAATGTGGATTTCCAAATACTACCCAGGCGAGTATATGCAAATTAAAGGTGACGATAGCGAGGACTCTAAGAAGCCTGGAGAAAACAACAACTCCTCCTCGAATAACAACAATACTACCAGTGGTGAGAATGAGAATGAGAATGAAGACAACTAATTGAATTGGAGACACGTTTCAGCATTGTTGAATGCACTCGAGTCAAGACCATAATTAGCACAACAAACTTTCTGTGCGTTTCTTTTATTAGACATTACATAACTTACGCAAAATTCAAGATTCAATGTCGCATACTTCTTCTTTTACTCTTCATAAAGTAATTTATGACCTTTAAAAAAATCTCTATCTCGTGCCAGTGAACAGGGTAGGTTAGAGAAGCGGTACGTGTACGCTCCGCTGAGATTCAATTCGTGTCTATACGCTCTGTGCATACCGGCACGCTTTTTATTGTATTACCTGGTATGAAATTAAAGCCCTTATAGGTCTTATCTATAAACTATAAAGCCATCACTCTCTTACACGTTGGCTCGCAAGGGCAGGCGCAGTTGTGTGCGTTATGTCAGCAATCACTGCTGCCTAGCTAAGCTGCTAACACTATTTATGCTTGGATCACATTGCCGAGAAAGGAGATTGAGAAAGCACACATCGTATTCTATACTCTATGTTATCCTCATAAACTCTTTTGCTATTTTTACCGCTAGAAGAGAAAATGAAAGCCTCTAACAAAATGTGGAAACAAATCGCCCAGGAAGCGCAAGCGCTCCGCGACGAAACACTTGCAAAAGTTGGTGTAACTATCGAAATCCCAGCTCAGCTTTCAAGAAACGTTACCGATATCCCTGATAGGGTTTTATCTGCCAGCAGTGCTAGAATAACATCTTTAGCGCCTCAAGAGATTATAACCTTGGCATCTGAACGCAAAATCTCCGCTCAGCAGATAGTTCAGGCCTTTCTGGAGAGGGCCATCGCTGCTCAAAATCTTGTTAGTCATTCGTATTTCTTGGTTGTTTAATCACCTCGCCAAGTGCTGATGACTATTGGTAGACAAACTGCCTTACCGAAATTCTCCCTGAGCGAGCCATCTCTCAGGCCATAGAGCTCGATGCTCGCCTCTTAGGCAATTCCGCTCCGCTTGGGCCGCTTCACGGGTTGCCAGTGAGCATCAAGTCTCACATCGGTATTGCTAATCGACCTCTTTCCTCTGGCTACTGCGCTCCATTCCATTCACGTCAACGCCCTGATACTGATGCGCTGGTGGTCCAAATTCTTACACGGGCCGGAGCTATTGTCCATGCTCGAACAACAGAGCCGCAGAGCATGATGCAGCTCGAGTGCACGTCGAATCTTTATGGAGTCACCACGAACCCTTATTCGAACATCCTCATGTCTTCAGGTGGCTCTTCAGGAGGAGAAGCTGCGCTGATTGCATTGCGAGGCTCTGTGTTAGGCGTCGGCAGTGATGTAGGCGGATCAATCCGCGTTCCAGCTGCTGCTTGTGGGATTTACGGACTGAAGCCAACCGCATTTCGAGTACCAACTACTGGCTGGAGTAGCACTCCGCCAGGAGCTGACCCAATAGTCACTGTTTTGGGCCCGATGAGCGTCAGCTTGGAAGGCCTAGAGATGTTTATGAGAGTCGTGGCGGCTGCAGAGCCGTGGCGCATTGAACCAGCATTAATACCGCTACCTTGGAGGGCGGTCGATATTGTTCTGAGCAGAGAAAAGCCCCTACGTCTAGGTATTATATGGCACGATGAGGTCGTTAAGCCACACCCGCCGATAATGAGGGCGCTGAAAGAGTTTGTAAACAAAGTGAGCAACGTGCCACATGTGGAAGTCGTTGACTTTCCGCCATATAAGCATGATGAGGCGTGGGCCATTGCGTCGAGCCTTTATTTCACTGATGGAGGTGAAGCTGATTTAGCTGTCATGGCTGAATCTGGTGAGCCGTTGCTACCGTTGACCGAGTGGATCATCAAAGACAATCCAGGTGTAAAATTATTGGATCGAGGTGAGCTAGAGTACTGGCTGGAAGAACGAGAAGAATTCCGGATGGAATACTCGCAGCACTGGAACGAAACTGGAGTCTTCAATAGAGCTTCGGGAAATTGGGAGGGTACTGTGGATGCCATCATCTGTCCCGTGGCGCCTGGAGTAGCCACGCAGCATAACACAGCCAAATACTGGACATACACTGCGGTGTGGAACTTGCTCGACTATCCAGCGCTGGCTTTTCCCGTCGGTAAAGTTGACAAAGCAGTAGATGTTAAGGAGAATAGAAAGCGCTTCATGAGCGACTTGGACAAGGAAAATTGGAAATTATGTGAGTGTGATCCCGATACGCCATATCTCTTGGAATTGCCAAGCGTGGGCCGAAAGCTGATAGACGCAGATCGCCCCGACCTATTTCATGATATGCCGGTCGGTTTACAGATGGTTGGGCGAAGATTTGACGATGAAAGAATTATTGCTATTGCCAGATTTTTAGAAAAGCATATTTAAAATAAGTTGTTCTTGGCGAAAGCGAAAACGCATAACGCATAATCAACACGAAAAGACTTGGGTATAATAGTGCAGCGCAGAGTGCATTCTCATATGTGAATGCAAGATTTATGGCTTATTGTGGCAATAGGCGGCAGAACAGATTTTCCTACTCCAAGGTATGTACTGCTTAATACAATTTCAACTGACTTCCAAAGCTGTTAGACACGTAGGTGGTAGGATTGCGTAGACGAGAAAGTTCATTCATCGTTTTCGTTAGTGGGCGCAAGACTTTCTAAATTAACTTTCTACGCTGCATCTCTAGAAATACTCCGTCATGCGGGGCTACAATGCGCCCCATGAGTCGCAGCACGTAAGATAAGCAGTAAAGCGCCTACCTCTAAGAAGATGACGTACTTGGAATCATATTCTATCGAGAGAGTGGTATGATGTCTTGTCGTCTGTCATTACTCTGTCTACTGCGTCGCTTGGTATAGTAGGCATGTCTTTCATTGGCAAATGCTTTGATCGCCCTTTAAGCTCTTCGCGATCTTGGGTTGCTATGTTTCCGAAATAATGTAGATAAGTGTGTAATAGGCTTATGTAGCTGAGATTGGAACTCAGAGATTGAGACTCTTATAAGTACATCGTAATGAAATTCGCTGTAGGATTTCTCTCCCATATTAAAAGCATCGAAGCATTAGGTTCAGCGTACTACATATAGTTAAAGGCTCAGCAGTCACTCATACAATGTGCCGATCGTCTTACTGCTTGATTAACACTCGATTTCAACGGCGTCTTAGTGGCTTGAAGAATGGCTTGAAGAATGGCTTGAAGAACGACAATCGTAAATATTACAACAAAAAGAATCCTCTTATCTAAAAAGAATTAAAGCCAGGGTCACGCTATCATTAACAGGCAGTTAACACGAGATACTCACATTTACTCAGATTAATGAATAGAGCCCATCAATTTGAGCACCTTTGACACCATTCAGGCGCCCCAGATGAATCTTCAAGAACGAATCTTGAATTGAAGCAACATGTTACAATTTACCTTCATCTAGTGCTGACTCAGTCTGTGATGGAGTAGAAAGAATTTCTATCACGATTGAGAGGCGTTGTCCATGATAAAGATCCTTCCTACTCGCTTTCATGATCTGTCTCCCATTACATTCTTTTACATCTTTTGTAACAATTTCTCAAACATGACAAACCAGGAAAAAATCGAGGCTCTTATAGACGAGGCCCTCAGCAAGCAGAAACAGGGTGACCGAAGCTCGTTGTGGGACTGTCTTGTGGTACGCACATCGGAGACTGGGTTTCTTCGACTTGAGCTAACTACAACAAGCTTGTAGGACTCACGTCTATCAACGAAGGGCAGTACGCGGCATACCTTTATAAAACAGCCCTAAAGACTACGCCAGCTGAATCTCGACCATTATTGTGGCGGCGCTATGTGGATGCGCTCTCAGAAATGCTCATAGTTGTTGGACTGCCAAAGACTTTGAACGCGCTCTACTCAATGATGCCTTTGGTCGAAAAGAGTGATCTCATTCATCTAAAAAGGTCAGAATGGGATGCCGATACCTCGGCGAGAGGCTGGCAGTACGCAACACGAACACACCATGACTGGGCCGAACGCTATGCGGAGGTTGCTCTATATGCACCTGATGTGGGTAAGTGCATGCTAGTATTTCTAAATAATAGTGCTAGCCAAGGCTAAAACATCTAAGCACATATTACACTGAATGTGTCAATCGAGAAGTTGTTGTCAGATTACTCTGTGCACGATGGACTTGCAACAATGGCACTACTATTGACGGTACTAGTCACGATGAATTGTCCACTCCAAGCTTCATGGTATGCAGACGGATACCTAAGGCACGGCGGCAACAACGAGACTCTTTGCGATGTTGTTGAGTTTGCGAAGAAGATCGCGCACGATACTGGTAATGGACTCCCTGCGGATTTCCCCAGTGTAGAGGAAATGCTGGGCGGAACAACCACATGATTATAAAGCAGAAGCAGCGAAACTCTGCGCTTTCAAGTTGCGATTCTTGGCCTTTCTATTGATACACTTGGTTAGCGCAAGGATGCGACGACTCAGGCTTGCATTGCGTAATAATGGTATTCAAACATACTCTAGCTATTACAAACCAAGTTAGAACAAAGTGATCAGCTCGAAAGGGTTTCCTCTTGCAACTCTACGTGCAGATTGATCCTGTCTGGAACTAATAAGATGCGGAAGTTACCATGGTCCTTAGCCGAGGCACTGGAATGATCGCGATCTTAACTAAATCCGAGCTGAGGCCCACTTGCATTGACAAACGCCGATAGAGATTTGAACTCTGATCCACAATCGGCTATCTCGTGAAAGACGGCAGGGTCTCGTTATTGGAACACTCTGATGTTTTATAAATTGATAATTGGATAGTATCTCCGCCTTAAACTCCGGGAGCAAGATGGAAGATGGGTAGCGGCGATAGGTTCGGCGCTACCACTCAACGGCTTCTAGAATGTCTGTCATCAGAAATCTATCTAGTATTGGCACACATATATAGGTATTCCGTTATCGACTTGAAAGACTGAAACTCATCCGCTATTCAGTTATCGAATTCTCAGTGTGAAGAAACAGAACAAAAACAACATAGGCGTTGCACTTTGCTCACTCGCTCAACCCATATCATCTCTATTCTACAGTTGCAATCTGATTTCGGAAAGGAGCCATCTCAATATGTCAAAGGGAACAGTTTTGATTACTGGAGCCTCCAGTTTTGTTGGCGCCCATGTTCTGGAGCAGTTTCTCTCCGAGGGTACTCCCGTTCGAGCAGTCGCTCGCTCTCAGTCTTCGGCAGATCGCATTCTTAAAGCGAATGCTAAATATGCTTCGCTTCTAAGTTTCGCCATTGTGCCAGATATTACGGCTCCGGGAGCCTTTGATTATGCCGTTAAAGATGTCGAGGGAGTCATCCATATTGCCTCTCCCTTCACCGTCAACATCAAAGACAACGAGAAAGATTTGCTTATTCCTGCAATCGAGGGCACTACTCAAATACTGGAATCGACCTACAAGTATGCGCCCCAGGTGAAGCGAGTTGTCATAACTGCCTCTTTTGCCTCTATCTTCGATCTGTCCAAAGGAATCCGCCCAGGCTATGTATACTCTGAGAAAGACTTCAACCCGGCTACTTATGACGAAGGCAAGAACGGAAGCGGTATCTTCGCTTATTGCGCCTCCAAGGTACTCGCCGAGAAGGCGGCCTGGAAGTTCGTTGAAGAAAAGCAGCCCCGGTTTACCGTCTCTGTCATCAACCCACCTGCTATCTACGGCCCTAATCACCACTACATCGACAATCTCAGCGAGCTCAACACTTCATCCGGCATGTTTTACTCTCTTATGAACGGCTCCCTTGCTGAAGTACCACCAACTACGACCTGGGCTGTTGTTGATGTGCGAGACGTTGCCCGTGCTCATAAGTTGGCTTATTATAAGCCCGAGGCAGGTGGCCAGCGATATCTCACGACATTAGGAAGATTTAGTTTCCAACAAATTTGCGATATCCTGCGAGAAGAATTCCCCGAGCTTCGCGACCGTGTCCCAATCGGCAATCCTGGGGAGCCCTTGCCCGACGTGTACGATGTGGACAACACCAAAGTGAAATCAGAGCTGGGCATAGACTTTATTTCGCTGAGACAAATGGTTATCGATACTGCCAAAAACCTTTTGGACATCGAAAAACAAATTGCCACATCTGCTTAGACGTTAGCTTGGTTGCCTTTCTCGGCTAAGATGGATACAAACAAATAAGATCGTTTAAGATATAGATATGTTTGATAAAGGAATAGATAAGACATTGATATATTTTGATTTGAATAGTATCGTGATAGAATAATTTCTTACGAATAAGTGAAAATATTTAAATATTCAAGCATTATTGTGAAGATAGATAATACCAAAGTTGTTGCCGTACATCAAGAGATCTTCTACTATCTCAAGTCCGTTGGATGGACCAACAGTGGGACGTGCACTGATTCGAGCTTGCTTATGTAAATGACTTACAAAGTAGCCGTACATGCCACGGCCAACATAACCAACTTGGTTCTTTAATCTTCAGTCATCTCCATCTTTCCGTTTGGCGAAGGCTTGCTCCATCCTCGCTATCCACGGCCAAGTTGAGCTGTTTCTATTTTCTGTACCTTTCAGCTTGATAGACGCAGAAATAATTACAATAGCTAACGATTAGCAGCGATGTTTGTCACAGCCCTTGCCTCGAGCGACGACCTTCCACTCACGATTCTTTTCCAGGCTTTTGAAATCTCGCCTCGAAGCTTTGGGTCCGTTGATAGTGCAGATCTGTAATATCTCTGGAACCCCTGGGGTTTCTCTTGGTGTTTTACACCATGGTGAGATTCTTCATACCGCCGGTTACGGATTTCAAGACGCCGAGCGCCAAGTCGAGCCTAATGTGGACACGAGCTTCCTTATCTGCTCCATGACGAAGGCTATTACAGCTTCAATGATCGGCATGGTGATTGAAGAGGAGAAGTTAGACTTTTCAACGCAGCTGTATCAAATCTTTCCGGAATTTCACCGAAATGACGCTTAGGTGAATCTCACCATTGAAGATCTTCTAAGTCACCGGAGCGGTGTCGCACCCTATGATGGTCTATGGCTCAGTTCAGATAACCAAATCCTTATGAATCGTTCGGAAGCAATCCCAATCTTGAATTATGCTCCTGCCGCTAGCGCCTTGCGCACTGAGTTCATCTACAATAACATCGCATACGAAGTTCTTGGTCAAATTCTTGAGAAATCGACTGGCTCCACCTACTCAGAGCTACTTCATACACGCATTATCGAGCCACTGAACTTGAATCGGACATTCTATGCTGAAGAACCCATCGATAATAATACCGCCAAATCCTATATGACATTGAAGGACGGCTCTTTCTATGAGGTTCCGCCATGGGGATATGGCAAAGATTTATTGATTGGAGCGGCGGGCGCAATTCGTAGCTCTGTCAGCGATCTTCTGGCTTTATACAAAGTTCTAATCAACGACGCAAACTCTCAAGTAGCCCAGAAGTCTATGCCAGGAGCCAAACATGCCATTTTTAAGCAGATGCCACAGCTTTTACAAGGAAAAGTTGGCGTACCCAATCAATTTTTAAGAGAATACAGTTATGCTTCAGGGTGGCTTCGGGCACAATTCCCTGCCATTGTCGATTTATTTGCCGATTATGAACCACCACTTCTAGGCAATGTGTCAGCCTCGCGTCTCATGATTCATCATCAAGGGTACATCGCTGGAAATGTCGGCTATGTTGCGCTGTTTCCAGAAACCACGACTGCCGTCGTGGTTCTAGGGAATTCTGCCGGATTGACTGACGCTATGAGACTTCTAGGCCAAATCATTGTGGAAACTGTTCTAGGAAACGAGGTTGATGCGGACAATACCTGAACACAGCTATCGCTGCCACCAAAAACACAATCACATCTGTGAACGAAGTGCACAAGGAACTTTTAGCTGGCAAAACCATTGACCAACCAACGCGAGATGTTACAGCATATACAGGACGCTATTATAACACTGTTGGAAATTTCTTTATCGACATAATTCAAACAGATGGGGGAATTCAAGTCGCATACATGGGGTCCTCCACCGATACATTTGACTTAACACCATATGAATCTGACAGTTTCTTCTGGTGGTTAGATTTCGATGAGAGCGCAAAACGGGCAAGGTTACCGGGATACCCTAGAGAATTCTTCATCCTAAAGTTTGGCTGCCCATCAACATCTTCGTGGTTAAGTAGAGACGTTGAGATGGGTTGTATGACATGGAAACATGAGTTCCAGTTTGCGGGCGCAGGAGAAGTGTTTCAGAAGAAGACGAGAGGATTGTACACTGATATTTTAGGAGCTCTTGGCGTTCTCAAAGACCTGAGATGATTGCAAATGTATTATGGTAGATACATGCAGCGCCTCCAATATAGTAGGTGCATGTGGCGACTTTTCATTGTTTACATGGACCTAGGCCTATATTTTATTTCACCGAGCAATTACTAGGCAAAAATGCAGGGCTTTCCTCTCACACCTTACATATATGCAATGATACATTCGGTTAAGAAAAAAGGTTCGTTTTCGTTGAGTGATATCATAATCTGTCTATACTCGACCGAGAAGAGGGGTTTCCATTGATGTAGTATTTGATAGCTGCAAGCCGGCTATTGAGCTTGGCTGCTGGCTACCTACATGTAGGTGTTACATGCACACTGCTATCTTCTCTTTATGCTTATCGAGCAAGCGCAATGCTGTTCTGTACACAAAGCTCATGTTTCAAGATTCTTAATCCTTTCTGCATTTTGTCTTGTCTTGAACAAAGGGCGTGCCTCTAGATCCCGTTCTGACCTGTCCAAACCCTTGATTATGGCACACCCTGAAGATCACCATACACATACTCTTGCATCGCTCTATGACTCCATAGGTGCGAGGTATGAGAAGGCGTACGCCAACAATCCAGCCCAGCAAAAGTCCCTTGAGTGGCTCCTCTCTCATCTGCCCCGCGCAGGTTGCAAAATCCTTGACATAGGCTGTGGTACCGGCCGTCCTGTGGCCCTTGCATTATCTCGTCCTCCGCACCATCATCAGGTTCATGGCATCGATGTCTCGGAAAGCATGCTTTCTGTCGCCCGCCTCTCAGCGCCCTCTGCGTCGTTTGAGCTCACTGATGTCCGTGATTTTCAATCCGATTCAGAAAGTTTTGACGCTGTGACGTCGTATTTTGCTCTGCTGGTGGATATTTCGCAAGACGAAATAAAGCAGATAATGCAAAATATTTTTACTTGGTTGAGACCAGGTGGCCTTTTAGTCTTCAGCACAGTCCCGGCTGATATTGAGCAGGACGCGCAAAGTTGGCTGGGTAGAAGGGCAATATTTACATCGCTATCGGAGGAGCAGTACATGGAATTGTTAAAACAGCTGGGTGTCGTTGTGGAATACTCTCATGTAGAGAATTTCATGCCTAAAGCCGTTGAAGCTGGTATTTGCGATGCAGCTCAGGTTACAGAGGAACCTCAACTGTTTATATATGCGCGAAAACTATAGAGTAGCGTGTACATTTGATTTGAATAACAACTAGATACAATCAACCATCTATATGAATTCTAGGCCTAGCTGGCGCAGCTTAGACACCAAGCGGCAAGCAAACAATATTGCCAGTTTGCTATTGAACGCGGATGTAGCATGCTGACTGGCTCTGAATTGCTTCATGTTGGGTAATCATCGGCAAAAACACTGGCCAACCATCGCTAGGAACTCTTCATCACGTGACTCTTGGCATCATGAATCGCGGGCATTTCTGTGCACGGCTGCCAGCATCATCTTCGCCCACAGCTACACCACCATCGCGCAGCATCTCAGACTCCATCTCGCCCGTCTCGCGCTTCACTCGTACTCATTCCACATGCCTCGTCCTCCGCCATGACGGACTCTGCAGCATCGCCCGTCCACGGCGCTCACGCCAGCGAAAGCGACGATGCAACGCAGCCTGTTTCCTCGCCCGGGTCAGTGAAATAGTTCTTAGGCGCCTATCGAGCCTTGTGCTTGTGTGGAGAGCCGTGCCGTTCTGCTCATGGCATGCTGCAGTTGATAGTTGTCTGCGAAACAAGACCGGGAAATTCCTATTCATACCTGGCACGTTTGTCGTCACCGCCAAACCTGTCAGAATGGTAGGGGCCTTGTTGGCCGCGGATAGCGAGTAGCGGTTCGTCGTTGACGCGATGGACCTGCGTAAGGCACTTGCTCGCGATTTACTTCGCCTTGCGATGCCTTGCTCCTATCTTGCCTCCTTATGCCAGTACTCTCTCTGCAGCATGCCATCTTTGCGGGCCGGCGAGACTTTTCCTAAACACCCTTTCACTTGGACTTGGCAATGCACCTTTCACCATGAGCGATATGGACATACGGCCGAGCTTGCCCTCGCTACTGTGTGACTTACTGACGCAATAATGTTTAGATTCCCTTACGAGACCCAAGACGACAATGAATCGGATGATTCCGACCATGACGAAGACAAAGTGAAGAATGAGCATGATGACGAAGAGTCGACCGAGTCGGATTACAGTCAAGAGAATGAAGAGGCATCAGGAATCGATATGACATGTGGGGATACCGTGGTATCCTGGAAGAACGCCGGTGGTCGAACCGAAAGCACTGACGAGCTATCTTTTGATCTATTCATGGACGCCTCGACCAATACTGCGATTTTCAAACTGTATGGCTACATTCTTCTCAAAGGCAATAGAGGCAAAAGCGGCAAGCAAGCCATTTATTTATTCATACATCCTGAGAACATCCGATCCATCACGGAGACTGTTCCTGATTTACCATCTCAATCATTGACCAATCTTGGTTCCAACTATCACTCGTTGTGTTTCTTTTTGACGAAAGAACCTCGTCTTGTTGTCCCTCGCAACAGTATTCTGGAGTCTAGACCGAAGACCGCAGCCCTTCTAGAGAAAATTCGAGCTCTAGCTGCCGTGGTGAATTTTACCGTTTCCTTTGGCAACACCGAGACTATCACATCGACGCTGCAGAGCCTAAGGTGTGTCTCCTCAGTCTTCTCTCCGACATACACTGGCACTCGGCCGTCCACGAATGACAGACACGCCAATCTCGCCACACTGTATGCTGGCAGAGGTGGTGAAATGATTCAAACGAATGATGTTACTGCCAGTGCCACAGTGCAACCACCTCCATTGTATAGCGAGGTTACCCCTGGCCCAAGTAGTTCGTCCTCATCGCTCGGGCATCTCGTGATTTCCAATCCGCTAACTTAGCCATTCTAGATAAACGTAAACGTGTGAACTCCGACATTGACGATGATCGCTCTCCCGGTGTCAATAACCAAATCGTGCTCCTTCTCAAAAACATTTGTGCTCGCCTCGATACTATAGACGACCGTATCGGTCGGCTTGAAGATAAGGTGACGGAGGCACTGGATGTTGACCGCAACTCATGCCGATACGGAACGGAAGAAAGAACAGAAATAATAGAAGTGGTCGACAATAGAATTGATGACTGCATAACAGACCTGAAGGTTGAATCTCACGACATACTCCAAGAACTCAAAGAAGAGGTTGACGACACACTAGAGCGACTAGATAATGAGGCAAGCGATAAGATGGAGCAGCTGGAGAATGAGATTGATGAGAACACCACAAAGCTAGTGAAGCAATATTTGAAGGAGAAGCTATCAAATGCCAGTTTGCGAGTGGACGGGACTGTCTTCCTGGACATTTAGACATGGTAGAGCTATTTGACCAATTTCTTGCAGCTATAATACAATTCGAGCCTCAGGGCCTTTACCTCTTCACTGTATTAACTTTGTGACTTGAGCCCAATACATCATGACTCCATTCACTGCGAGATGTTGTAGATTATTCACCGCCTGTACTGCCATGACCAATCATTCAATAGTTCCTCTAAATCAAGGTTGCAGTTCGTTCATCTTGTACACTTGCTTTTCTTCTTTTCGTGAAATACACCTCCTGTTAGAGCATTATGTACATCGTATCCATCACGTCTACTGCAATAGATCTGGCCGCTATTGTATGAGAGCCTACTGGTTCAACACGTTTCAAGAGAGCAGACTTGACGCTATTATAGTATCCATCCTGCAATACTTTTATTGATATGCATCAAGAGACGGAAACTCTCCGTTCTTATAATTGTATGTGATATAGCAACTAAATGCCTGTAAAATCGCTTGCTGAATTCATCTGTTCTAATATACCCACGGCAGCTCATTTGCATACTGCTGCTCAAAAGGAACGTGTTCAAATTTGAATGACTTCGATACCATAGCAGGTACGCGAGCAGCAGCATTCGTGCTCATAGCTTCAAGTAGCGGCCCGCTACTATCCACAGCTGATTCAAGATTAAAGCGGGACAGTCGCTGCCAAACTCCTACTTTGCCTTCCAACTCACTTTGATATGTGCTAAACGCCTTATTGACGTCTTTGGTGTTGGGATCTGGGTTATTTTGCAGGAGGGTTGCAAGTTTATTGGTGAGAGTTGCTGCAGCTTCCATGCCAACGTTTGCGGCCACGCCTTGCTTCGGGGAGATCTACATCACGATTATTGTTAGCTTACAGAAGGGCAAAGAGGAGGGAGAGTGAAAATACATGCCTTATGAACAGCGTCACCAACCAAAGCGATGCGATTATAATGCCAGAGGTTGCAAACACCTTCTTCATAGTTTGCAGTGCCTTGGGCGTAGCGCTTGTCCCAGATATCTCTAAAAGAGACCTCGGGTGTTAGTTGAGCGTCATAAAACTCTGCAATATCGCTATCTGTGACGACTGGCGAGAAGGGGATTTTGGTGGTAGTTGACGGAATGCGTTTGTAAATGAACATGTGAGTTTCCTTTTGAGATGGAAACGCTTGGATTAACCACCCATCGCCGTGTACTTCAATGCCTTGCCCCGATGTTATGCCTTCTACCAACGGCCCTCTTCCGAAAATTCCTTTATATGAAGCTTCATATGGATTTTTCGGAAACAGGCCCTTAGGTGCATGTTGGCGAATCTGGTCACGGACGGTGCTCCAAATTCCGTCTGCGCCAATGACAATAGATCCATCGTAGCTGGTGCCGTCTGTGAACTCCACAGTTACCTTATCTTCTTGAGGAATAATGTTATTAAGCTGCTTCTTGGTGAAGATATGATTCTCGGGGTCTTCAAGACCGCTAAGAAGCGTATTGGCAAGACTACCACGATCTGTAACAACAACAGGGTATCCATGACTGATGATGAAGTAATTAGTCAAAAGAAATTGACGAAAATGAGATAAAGGGGAAGAAAGAGTGAAAGGCTGTTTTCTTTCTCTTACATCTGGTGAGTCTTGGAAAAAATTGTATCTGCACTCAGTTGCTCTCCAGAAGGAGCACTGTGAATTATGCCCGTCATGGGATGAGATACTTCTCTCAGTTTATCGAGAAGACCTAATTGATGCATCATCCTAGTGACTTGAGGCCACAAAAAGATACCAAAGGCAGTGGTTGGGGGGATAGTAGATCGCTTTTCAAACAGCAAGTAATCAATGTTTGACGCCTGTAACCCATTTGCAAGGAAAAGCCCAACGGGGCCGCCTCCAATGATGATCACTTTGAAAGCCATGGATGAAGCAAAAGGAAAAAGTAGTAAAACTACTAGAGTTTCGTAGGCTAGCTGTGTAGTAGAGGATAGAGGTTTGCAAAGAGAATTCTAGAGTAGCTTGGTAAAGAAAGCTTGAAGAGAGAGAGAGAGAGAGAGAAGTTCATAAATCTTTTTTGGTAAGCGCTTAGAGTAAGACAACAGTAAACAGTAAGTCTGATAACAAAGGATTGATTGTTGAATCACACACAAGCTCGATCGCGGGAAACAAAACATTATTTGCACCGAACGACCGTATGTTAGCTTTATCAGGCTAGTGCTTATTGTAATGTAACAACTGATTGATTCATCAGCCATACCTCGTACAATTCCTTGTCGTCCATACACTAGATACAGGATTGGAGGATACACCAGCCTTTAACTGGAAATTCATAAACTTATAGTTCTATCCTCTAATGTTTTCCAATCTGCAAGAATTTTCTCTTCCTTGCTACTTTTTACTACGTAATAAATCAATCGTTGGATCTCTGGCGTTGCTCTCCCGTTTCCCTTTTATTCAACGCTGTATTTTGTCCATGCCAGATGATATGACGCTATAACTTCGTCTCTGCCTGGTTGCGACAGGATCTTGGAGGTTGCTGATTTAGGATCATTACATATGTATTACACCATGCGTTTGATGGTAGATTAGACAAATCAATACCCTTCACACCCAGAGCTGAAAGACTAAAATCCTATGTTAATAGTTTCTGCGCTAGCTTCCGTCGGAACGATGCGTTAAGACACTCGTGCATATTATGATAAGAACACTAGTGTAAGATGTTCAGGGTAATTGGTATATGTGTGGTGTTGTGTACTTCTGTTTGCGAATCATTTCTCTCGTCTTGGTCCTTTTGTAGTTCTTTTGCCCGGGTACAAAAAGCCACTTTGTGAGCATTGTCCCGATCCCAGTCGATTTGCATTCGTATGACGGGTTGTAACCCAAAAGATCCTAGTCAAAAATAACTTGATAAAGATTCTCGGAAGCGAAGAGACCCGAATGATCCGAAGTAGAGTCGGCTGTAATAAAATAGGTTGACTCAGCTGCGAGCACAGCCAGATCCTCCTGCAGGATTTGAAGGCGACATGCCAATCAAAGTTCAAAGCAAAGTAGGATTAGAAAGTGTGCCACCTGGGGGAAAGACAAGACCATACTACGAATCTAGGTAGCGTAGGACAGAAGGGTGGCTTGCTTTGACGGTAGACTAGGTATCTTACAGAAAGAGTAAATGCAATTGGCCTTGGAAGTGGTTAGATTGATACAGGCTAGACTAAAGGATGCGCTAATTCTAGCTGCCATCGACGCCAGCTGCTCAATCTTGCTTTCAGCTTCTTATTGGGGCAAAAGATGCCCAGGCATAAGCGCTTTATCGCTTAGGGCTATCTAAAGAATTGCTTATCCAAAACAGTCAAAGCCTCACCAGCTGGACATTGTAACTCGTAATTTTCTATATCCTTGTGGTTTGAATACCTTGATTACATGAAAGTTAGTAGAAGTAACACAATTCATATGTAGGTGTAGTAAACTTTGCCGAAAACGATAATGAATAATACAAGCTCTTAAGTACTACAGGAAGCCGCTTCAGCAAGACAAAATAAATAAGAAGAAAACAGTCACAAATTATATCAACAACAGAGAATAAAGACAAGGATGGTAAGATCAAAGTATTGAATGGTGCATAGGAAGGATGAGGCTGGAAGAAAATAAGATGTCCAGGCAGGGTGAGTAGCGAGTGATCCTAGAACATGTAAGAAATAAATTGAAGAAAACAAACTAACAATTATTTAGAAAATGAAAGAGCATACTGTATGTATTCTGACACGATTACCAAGACACTTATTAAAATTTATAAGAAAGACCATACACCTACAAGCACGCTAAAAAATCTTGTATCAACAGCATCAGAGCCTTCAGAGACTTCTAACCGAAAGCATAGGGTACGGAGGCTTTGCTGAGTATGACCAGGGATCTAAACTCACTACGGGATCTCACTGCAGGATCGGACCACCCTTACTTTATTTAGCGCCGCAAATGGCTGAACCCTTCCTCTGGAGGTGCCAGTAAATTCTTCTGGATGTGCCAGTTAAAGACCTCCTAGAGGACCATTGCCCCCTCCTGTACTTACAAGGACCTAGAAGGCCATAAAGGCTTGAAAGGCTTTTAGAACAAGGCAGCACAGCATACCAGCCCCTGCCACTAATTGCTCAGAGTCCAAATTGGCACCCATTGACTTTCTTTTACTAAATTAAAATGTAGCAGTTGCAGGGTCTACCTTGCTGATTCCATACTCCCGACGCCGGGCCGTAGCGTATTGTGACTAGCTTACTTAGAAGTTGCCAATAAGACAAGAGAAATGTAGATAAATGAATAAGAATAAGCACGCCAGGTATGCGGCATACCTATAATATGATTTGTACCAATATTGCCTTCTATCAAATTCTGATTAGAAACCGGAATTGGATTAGTTATCCACACAGTTCTAAGAGCTTACTGTATATGAGCTTATACGCGATATGTCTAAATTCTTACCAAAGTACCTCGAGTGAGATAGTACTTGGCTCAAGCATGGATAGAGCATCGCCAAGGATTCACAAAAGGATTTTGTTGCATGATATTAGTATTGATAATGTATTATCAATATGTAACAACTTGTCAGAGCCTTTGCATGTAGTAGGGTTGCAGTGGCCATTCTTGTATACCTGTTTAGATCACTTTTGAACTATTTAAGCTATGGTTGACAACAGTATCTTTTGTTCTTCATCTTAATCTTATAATCGAGGAAACTTGTTCCAAACTCGCGCCAGAAGCTCCGTATTCACAGTCTAGATTACTTCATCATGGCTGAAATTAGCAACGATCCCGCGCCTCCAAGCGGCATTGATATCATGAAACCTTCAGTTGCTCGAATGGTATGTTCTATGATGTTTACGGTAATTCAAGTCTCTAATCAAACTTAGTATGACTTCTATCTTGGTGGCAAAAACAACTTTGAGTCAGATAGAGCTGCTGTGCTTGCTGCTAAAGAGGCGAACCCGCAAATATTTGAGATGGCTATTGAAGGCCGCCATTTCTTGCGCCGGGTTATTCGATACATGTGCTACCAGGGCATTGATCAATTCATTGACATTGGATCTGGTCTGCCTAGCGCAGATAACACGCATCAGATAGCCCAGAGAGTTAATCCTAGTGCTCGTGTCGTCTACGTGGATATTGACGAAGCTGCCGTCGCCTATGGCCAGCAAATCCTCAGTGAAAATCCGTCAACTACGTTTATACACGGATCGGTGCTTGAGCTAGACCACATATTGGGTCATCCGGAGACCAAGAAACTCATTGACTTTTCGAAGCCAATTGGCGTTGTCATGATGGGACTGGTGCACTTCTTTTCAATTGACACTGGTCGCGACATTTTCTCGATTTTGAAGAAGAACCTAGCTTCTGGCAGCATGATTAGCATCACTCATGGGGTAACAGATAACCTGAGTGAAGAAGTCGTACAGAAGATTCTCGCTGCATACGCAAGAACGCCTACGCCATTGATTATGCGACCACTGGCCGACGTTGAGCAGATCATTGAAGGCTTTGTGAAGGTAGAGCCAGGTGTTACTTTGATTCATGAATGGAAGCCAGATATGGCCGAAAAGGGAGAGATAGAGCCTCCTAAAACATATGTTTGGGGAGGAGTTGTGGTGAAGGTATAGCTTGACGCTTCAACATTATGCGTTGGTTGTCGGATTGACTACAAAATATGGGGCTCTTCTAGATTATAGATCAATTGAAATCGAACGTCTTGAGTCTAATCATTTGTTGCTGTAATGTCGGAAAAAGGTGACATATTTTCGCTCACCGCTCTGGGTCTGAACTACTAACACTAGTCCGATATGAGCATCTGGTCATAACACGCCTTTTAAGCTGGATTATCATCTGTCTGTGAATCTTCTGTCTTTGGTATCATGTTTTTCTGCCTGGTTTCATAGTGGTGCATTAACTTTAATAGCATCCCTTGCAGGATCTTGCAGTCTTGCCAGCTCCAGTAGCAAACGGTATGTATAAATACTAAAATCCACAGTCCTGAAAGCCTTGCGAAACCACTCATGGCCTTGCTCTGCAATTTCTTGAGCTCTTTGTTGCCCTCGTTGAGTCGATGTAAGATAAAGCACTAGCTCGGGAAGCTCATCCATGCTTTGGCTCACGGGGACATAATGAACCCATGGGATAAGGCGGTCATCATGCCACTCTTTCAAAAGAGTCTGCTTTAACGGTGTTGATTTAGACGCCAAGAGTTTATAATATCGTCCGCTAATGCCGTTTCCGTCAATATCGAACACAAGCTTTGATCGTAATGCTGCGTCCTTATGAGCCCATGATTTCGGACTGAAAAAGTTGCGTTGGCTTTTGCATTGTTTCCAAGTGCACTGAAAGATTCGGGTGAAAGAAACATCGAATAGCCTCCGATCCAAAATGGAAGATTTTATTCGTTGAATGTATCCACCGCTCTTTTGCAGGTAAGAATGCTGTCCGTAACCCAAGTTCTGGCCCAGCGTAATAAATCGTTGCCTATGGTAGTTTCGCCAATTGTCGTCTGTGGCAAAACCTCCTGTTGTTGAACCAGCCCAATAGAGTTTGTTGGCTTTGTCATCCCAAGGGATATCATAGCTTTTCTCGTATTGGAATTCGGATTCCAGGTAGGCAGGACTGGGATATAGTATGTCGGCCATAGTTGAGAGAGTACCTGTCGATAGAACAGGTACTAGCCCTTCGATCAGGTTAAAAGATACCGGGCTCATGATAAGGCCGTGTTGTGTCTCGTATTCGGGGTGTTGGCACAAATCTATTGCTGAGCTAGAGTTGGTGACGAAAGGTAAACCGAAAGTTAAAGCGTCGCCTTTATCGATCTCGTATCTATTCTTGTGTGATTCGCATGGTTGAACAATGGTTTTGTAGACGGGCTGATGAGACAAGTTCGTTATGTTGAAACGTTGGTCTTGATATTGTTTTGCTGTTGTTAATTGTGGTGGGATAACGACTCTTGGTTCATCCAAGTGATTCACAAAGAATCTTATACTTGGCAGATCAAGCTGCAGGTCTCCCAGTAATGTATCGAACATCCATGAAATGTGTCTATCCCAGGAGCGATAGGGATGAGTACACGAAGTCTGAGCTTCTCGAGCACTAAACGTGCAGTCCCATGTTTCGCTGCGCGCGTCATCTTGTAAAGCGCTCATGGTCTCCAAGATGTCTTTGCCACTCAATTTCAGAAAAGGTAAAATATTCTTGGTCATCGTGTCGAATTCATCAATGATTGGAGAGTTGTTCGACACAGCAAACTTGTACCATGCTTCAAAACCAGGTGGAGGTTCCACCCCATATCGACGAATATATTCGTCATGAGCAACAACGTAGCTTTGAGACTGCATTCGCTTCATATTATCGAAACCTTCCTTGGCGCTATTTATGATGGCCTCGACTGGGTGACTGAGAGAACCATCGAAGCTTAGCTGAGCCGCGGACTTTAGCGAATTAATGGCGACAGTATTCTGTATGTACGAAACCACGATAAGAAGTGGAAGAACCCACAGAACTTGCTTATAGTTCATTTGCCTGGGCAGCATATGAATAATCTGCCCGATGGCAAAGAGTGTACTTGAGATGCAGAGTATCACTTGCATATTTGTGGATAGCGCAGACAAGTCAATCATGGCGACGATGCTAAATGTTTGTATGGCGGTGGCAACAGCCACAGAGCTTTGTTGAGCCTTTGTGAAATGTCAAAATGCCTTTCTTTGAGTATTGAAGAAAATGCATAACGCAGACTTACTGTGCGTATTAGAAAGACCCAGGACACGGCCTTTCCGATGCCCGGCGCTATTGCAGCCACCAAGTTACTCAAGCTGAAGCCGAATAAACAAGACTCTAATCCCATCCCAATGAGCAGAAGAACGACAACCCGCGATGACACAGATGAGACGGAATTTTGGTCGATGATGAGCGGAAAGGTGTTGGTAGATGTCTTCCTTCTTGGAATCAATGCTACGTAAAGAAGAAGGAGAGTCGTAGCCGGAATGATGGATATAATGGATTTATGATAGTCTCTACTTGCCAAAGCAAGCATAGGCAGTGTAGAGAATATTACAACTTTCCATGTCTCAACTTTGTTACCTCGCGCTTGTAGCGAAACAGGAATTGTCGTCATGAAAGAGTCAGCCTGAAATCGTCTTTGCAATAGCAACAGTATAGGCGTTAAAACTGGCTAGACATCTGTTTAGTCGAGTACGCATATCAACTCATGAATACAACGTACAAAAAATTGAATCACTCTGTTCTCTGTCTTGTATGCACATGAAAAGGCAATGGATAGAGCGACTATCCATAAAGTGCCTGGCGCTTTGTATTGGGTATTCTTTTCTGAGTAAGAACCGCTAATTTCGGATTTTAGATCGCTATATTTCACAGTCCTGAAAAGGGCGGGCAACATCATCCAGCATAACAGCTCAGAGTATAACTCAGACCTCGTCGATGAGGTGTATTCTGTGAAAAGTGTGCATAGTAGAGCTGCCCAAACCGTCCCCGTTACAGGATCTCTGAACTTCACATGTGGCTCCCACATGATTGCGATTTGCTTTGTCGGGCGTGCGGGCTGGCGAAAGAATAGCTCCAAAAATAATTGAGAAGAAATTGTGCCGAATAATGAGTGTATGTATCAAATCATACTTGCCATTTCTTCCTCAGTCAGGTATTCGGTTATTGGTGCCATATTTCGCATTCAATTGCTCGATGCCCAGCGCAGCAATTAGCTCCACTGTGCACGACAGCTGTGTAGGGGCTGTGTAGCTTCTTTATACGCTTTTGCGAACACTATCTTGACACGAAATCTCCTTCACAATTGGCCTTTAACGAGGCTAAGATCCACAACAGCTGCGACCCAAAGGGGCTAAGTTGTTATTAACCCCTGAAAGCCGTCACGGCCTCAACAGCCAACAGCCTGTGGCAAAGGATAGCTTAAATGGCATGCTGGAAAGCATCATGACTTTGTAAAGTGGCTGAGTGAGTGCTCAGTTTCTATAACGTGTACGAGATGAGCAAAAAACTCCATGTTGGTAGGCTAGACCTAGCCAACAAGATGCAGAGTAAATGAATGAAGTCCTAAGCCGAAACAAAATTTGTAGGGCAGCAAAGGCAAAGTTGTTAGTTCGTGAGGATCGATCAACTAACTACAGGCCATAAGTGCTAACATGGCTGAAGATGGTGCTGAGATTACATTAATATTTTCAGAATATGGAACTGATCGACATGTTTACAGACTGATCACAGCCGTCATTCAACTGACGCCCGCTGCACTTGACACAGGCTGTGCTGCTGCACAGCATGTAAGACCAGTAAGATGATGGCTGCTGTTGCGTTTCAAGCAGAATGCGACGTCTCGGGCCCCCCTTTTAGCATAGCCACTATTGAAAGAGCTCTAGCTAGCAACTAGACAAAATAAGAAGAGCGCGGAGTTTTTAAGAACATTGAAGTGGGGTAGTCAATTTCGCGAGACGGCCTGTTTCATTGGCCGACAACAGGTCTAACGAGTGTAATATTTCCCCAATACGAGGATTCCAACGGCTATAGCGCTTGGCATTTCCACCGGGCGTTGGCTTCTACTCAAGCACTGCTCTTGGCATGGATAACAGCAGCAATCAGAAGACCGTGCTGTAAAATCCCCATTATGAAGCCGTCATTTGTGCGTGCGTGAGCAGATTTAAACCTTGGCAGTGGGTGATGGGAGATCGAAGATCGAGGATCGAGGATCGCTTCCTTTGACTGATGGTCGGTACCCATAATCCTGGGGAGCAACTCCACTGGGGAGTTGACTTCAATTGCAACTGGTGCTCCTAATGCTGACTCGTAAATATGCCCAGATGCAAAATGAATAAGTGCTCTTACACCCGCAAGGTGTTCTTTTGCGTCTTTTGTCAGATGCTAGAATCCGTAGCAAAGCTAAGTCCTCAAATTGATGTGAAGAAAGGTACCTGTAGATGTAGTCTGCTTGGCCACGCTAGAAGTAGGTGATTTTTCGAAAACAGGTTGGCTGAATGGTGGGCCATTGTAATGTCCGCCCTGAAATAGTAATGCTTGTATAGTTAATACGCTGTACTCTACATTACTCTTCTGTGAGGACTCTGCTATACATATAAAATTGTGTCTGGCGACGATAAGGTTCTGCCGGCGACACCTTTGATCATCCCGGACCACTATAATTCCGGCCCGAGCATGCACCTTGAAGCTCGGAAGTCGGGAAGTGCCGCCATTCATGTTGTCATCTTTGCCTTTTGATCCAATCCCTCTACATCCTCCGTCATAATTGCAATAAACGTCACTCTCTTGATGCGTGGGCCGTGCTGGACATGTCGCAAGCGCACTATTCAGTGCGATCAATCCCGCTTTCCATGCGCCAAATGTGAGAAAGCGGGGCTGGAATGCCTCGACAAAAGACCATTGAGATGGGTGAAAGGCGTAGCAATTCGCGGCAAGATGCGGGGGCAAGGCTTTGACACAAATAAACCACTTTTAGCACAGCCTAGGCGAAAACAACTCTTGCCAAGTGCCGAGAAAGGGCGGGCCGTGGAAGCCGGTCCTTCGCCTGCGTTGCAGGATCTCCATATAAGCAGCATGGAGAGATTTTATATCGACTACTGTAAGTCGGTGCTAGGTGGATGGGGACAGCTTTGCTTGAACGGATATGCTGATATCAATGTAGACGACAAACGCGTTTGCAAATTGTACATCTTGTATGACAGTGATAGCAATCCCTTCCGCAAGTTGCTTCCTTACGCCCTAGAAGACGTGGCTTTGCAAAAGTCCATTGTCGCTCTTGCAGCGCGGCATTTTGCCAACACAGGATATTCTTTCGATCGGATAGAGGCGAATAGCTCTCACCGATATGAAAGAGCTGAGCTATCTGCACTACATTTCAAAAGGCAATCTATAGATGCTCTATCTTGTTCCCTGTCTTCTACAGAGTCCTGTAAGAAGGATGCGACACTGGCATCCATCCTGTTACTCATATTCCTTGACCTTCTTGAATCGGGGATTGATGGTTGGAGCTTGCATATTCAAGGTGCCAAAGTCATACATCAGTTACTTGCCGAGTTAGGCTCCAATGGCATTACCAAAGAAGATCGCGTTGACTCAGCTACGGAGATAAGACAATTCATCACCAGACAGCTTTTTTTGTGCGCGAGTTCCCTTTCTACGTATCTCAAATTATTCACTGACAGCCACAGAATTGAAACACTCGGAACCGCGTTCTCAGGCTCGACGCTAGTATTTGAAAGCCCTGTTGATGGTCAAGAGGACATATATCAAGAATCCATCGTGAGGAGCTTTTTGGGATGCCCCGAATTTGTTTTAAGAGCGATATCGTTCTTTTCCAATCAGCGAGCTCTCATGGAATCCCAAAGAAGTACCATCGACACCATCGCCATGCTTGAGTTGACTGAAGAGTTCGACTGCGTGGAATGGGCAAGAAGTTTCCAGCAAGTCGAATCGTCTTCTGTAAAAGAAATCGATCAGCTCAGTATGCTATCCCAAGCCTACAAGAACGCTGCTTTGCTCTATGGAAGACATGTCCTTGGCCCATGGACAGACACAACGCGAAATGATGAGTTAGTTTCGCAACTGCTGAGTTTGGTGCAAACTCTCAATAGCAATGCGACATTGTTCAAGTGCCTTCTCTGGCCGACGTTTATGGCCGGTCTTGGTAGTCAAGCACAAAGCCAAAAAGATGCTGTCGTCAAACTTTTAGGAAGTCTCTGGAACTCGACGAATTGTTTAAATGTGATTAGCGCTTCGAAAATATTGCAAGACTACTGGAGAAAGAAAGAACAGACAGACCCTCAGATGCCGGGGACAACTGGGATAGATGAGTTGGCTTATGGCTGGCTTCTTATATAACTTGATGAAAATGGTCATGCTTAGAATGGGGTCGCTGTAGTATTTTCATCTGCGAAGAACGTGAGCTTTGTATATTCACGACAAACTGCGCAACACGAAGTGGATGTTAGCAGGTAGGATTAAGGCGATTCCACAAAATACTTCTCTTTCCCTAAGCCTTTGAGTCTCAGACTTCTGGAAGGAATAACCTTTTTTAAGGATGGACGCCAGTAGCATTGTTCAGTTAAACAGAACAACTGAAACTCAATTCACCTTTTTTAGGCTAGCTTTGGAAAACTCTAATATGGAGTTAACTTCTTTTGTAAACTATTAAACTTGTGTGGAGACTCTAGAGTGTATCGTATAAAGAAAAAACGGAGGTTTGGAGGATCAATCTAGCTGCATTACTCCCATGGCTTCATGAGAGCGTTTGTCTCAATCTCATTGTCAAAGTTGACAAGATGCGTTGAATGACACCAGGGCTTAAGCGTCTCCTCCCTGCGAATGAAAGTAGAGAAGAACGAGCTCCATTTCAAGCGGGGATAAGCCTCGTTGATCTGCGCACGAGTGGTGTCGTGAACCAATTTCTCAAAATCATTGACATGAGGGTGAATGCCAGTGTTATCATAGGTCGTGGCCAGCTGAATGAGTTGACCAATATAAGTAATTGTCCCATCCACGCCCATATCTTCGTGTCGAATGATTCCCTCAGAAACAGCCTCTGCCTGGTCTTGAGTAGCGCCGAAGTCCTTGA